ATATTATCTACTACGTCTATTTTCTAAGATTTTCATATGTTTATAGATCTACTTGTATTTTAACCTATTTTTGTAAATTTAAAATTTTATAATTAGATATAAAAACAGATTTTGAGATAATCCTAAGAACATTTTACATCAAAATTATATATCATGATAAAAATTGATGGTACACCTTACCTCTACAGCTACGGATGCATCCGTATGCCAACTGCTCCCATAATGAAAAACTAGATTTTTTTTAAAAAAATTAATATATGACAGGGGCATTTTGAAAATAATTCAAAACGAAGGGAAAATATAAAAATAAGTATTCATAGCTAAAATATTTTTCAATTTTTGTCAAAATGATAGAAAACATAAAATAACGTATTTCAAAGGAATTTTTATTTTTTAGATTTTTTGAATTTTGTTTTAATATCCCTGTATCGGACCACCCCGCTTAAAGATACTCAAACTTACCAAGCAAAAAATTCAAATAACTCAAGCGAGTCTGAGTTTGCTCCTATGAGTTTTTTGAACACTAACCTACGCTCGGCCTTACAATATCTGGGCCTACGAGCGTCAAGATGCCCTGAAATCCAACCCAAAACCAGGCTTCGCTTGAAATCTGATGGTTAAAAAAGGTTAGTTTTGAGACGGAAAATGGTTTGATAGGGGCTAATAAGTAAAGCCTCTCCTTATAGGACATCAAAAATTATAATTCTAAGTGTTAGAACAACTTTTAAATCGATCATCTCAGCTTGAACATTATGGTTATGCAAAAAAAATTACGTTTTTCAATTCTAAAAATAGTGTATATTGTGACAAATCATTTATAAACCATCTATTTTGCTCTAAAGATAAGTGTTCACAGATCCCCAATACCTATAATATTTTTTGAGTTTCAAATTTTATTTTTGGTGTTGGAAATAAATTTTAGAACTATAATAAATATTTTTTATGCCGAAAGTGCTTTGTTGATGAAGATTTGAGGTGCGGCTTTATTTTGTTTTCATAAAGCCTAGGCCTTATAGAACTTATCTTTTTGAGAAAGATTGCGGTGGACCCCCATATTTTTTATGCCGAAAGTGCTTTCTTGATGAAGATTTGAGGTGAGGCTTTATTTTGTTTTCATAAAGCCTAGGCCTTATAGAACTTATCTTTTTGAGAAAGATTGCGGTGGACCCCCATATTTTGCGCATGTAGATCCATGACTAAAGTTAAAGAGAGAAAAAAAAGAAAAGAATAAAAAAAAGAAAGAATTTGCATGGAAAATTTGTTGTAAAAAGACTTCGCCCTCCGCACGCCGACTCAAGACCAATGTTTGCAAACTCGGCTGGTTCAACTCGGAAC